ATGCACACCTCGGTGCTGTACCCTGGTGAGCCAGCGGCGCTTCTGCTGATCGACTTCTTTACTAACGCAAGCTGCGACCCGAGATTCTGGTTCGTGTGGCTAGTGCCCGACAATGAACAGCTGCTGCTTTCTGCAAACTCCGCTTGTCTGCGGAACTCTCCAACTGAGCAACCGGATATCAGGACGGGTAATGTGCCAATCATCTGCTGCGCCGCTTGAGAGATGCACAGCTGCCGCGGACTTTGTTGAAGTGCCAATTCCCCGACCCAGCTGGCGATTGACTCCACCTCACTTCCCTCTTTGTCAGCATCAGCGCACCTCACGGCTAAGCTTTTACGTTCCAGCATCTGGTTTGCTCGTTCTACAACCTTAGCTTCAGCACACTCATCTTCAGCTTTCAAGCTGCGGACGGTGAGTTCGGCGGGATGATCTGCTTCTTTTTTTGCTGGCTGCAAGCGCGGACGACAGCCGGAAGCTTGACACGCAGCGGAGATTTTTTTTCTGTGAAACAGCTCAGCAGCTGAAGCCCGTTGTGAGTCTCCGTTTCTCTCAGTTTCCAACAAACTAGCGCGCGAGTCCTGACCGACAAGAAGCTCGCTAACCAGTTCTGTAGACCCTCCAGCTTCACCCTCGAGATTCGACGTGTGAAGCTGCTGCAAAGCAGCTGTCTGCTTGCCAGCGTCACTTTTAGATCGCGACGCGTTATCTCCAAGAAAGTTGACTTTGGTAGTATGGTCTTCCTCAGAGTTGATTTGAGCGACTTGTAATTCGGCACTGCGGAGCGTAGAGCTATTTGGGCGCTGAGTCCCGCTCTGCACATTACGTGCACAAGCTTGTGCTGCCACATTCGGTAGGTCTGCGGCCGCAGAGTCAACTATGGCCAAACTCGCCTCTGCGTGCGCTAGACGGCAGTCAGCGTCGACTGCTAAACTTTCTTTCGGCCTACTTCGCAGCAAAGCCGAATCTGACAAAGCCAAAGTTTGTAACCGCGAGCCGGCTGCCAAACCGCAATTCAACCCGAGAGATGCGACCGAAACAGAGTTGTTACCCCGGCCGGTTGACGCTGTACGCACAATGAAAGTGTCGGTATTTCGAGGCTTCATCAGTGCGCTGTACTTTGGTGCATCGTGTACGTGAGTGGCGCTGCTGTTCCGAAGCAGGCACGGGAATGGGAGTTGCTTCGCAGCCACGATTGCATATTTTTCGTCCGAGCTGTTTTGCACTCGGTTTTGCGCGCAACTATCGCGCAACGCAAACCTGGTCTTGGCAGAAAAAGAGCGTGGTTCCTGGTTGCTGCTAGCAACGGCGTCTGACGCGACGTCTCGAACCAGTGCTAACAATCGTGGCGAATCGTGCCTGTAAGCGGATTGTGTGTTCGCGCATTTTGACGCCGGTAGTGCGGAGATCCCCATGTCTTTCTTCTCCGCTCCTTGCACAAAATCCTGCGCAATCGCGGCAGAACCATGTGACACGCCCACAACAAATTTCTTTAGCGGAGCAACACTGTCGTTCACAGTTATTTGCTGCTCTACGGCGCTGTCGCAAGACGCAACGCCTGAATGCACCGCACACGTTTTGTTCTGCGCTACGCGAGCGCTGTTCATTCCAAATTTGAGCCAGTCTCGTGAACCTATTAGCGTTGAGTCTTCTGACAATCGGTTTGCTGTGTGATCCTCCTCGAGAAATTCAGCGGAGCTGTTTTCGCGGAGCGACACAGCTTCTGGGTCCTTCTGGTTGTGCTGCGAATCCTTCAACGCGTTGCATGGAATTGCACTCTTTACGTTATCGTTCGCTGAGTTGGTGAAAGCCTTGTCTACATTACGATTCGCCGGGTCAACTTCATAATCGACGTGCAGCTTTTGCGAAGCTTTGTTTTGCGTGCTACATACCGTCGGCTGACCGCGCACGCAACTGTAATCTATCAAGAACTGCCTTGATCCGCGATACAACTTGGCTCGGCCAATATTTGTGTAGATCGACGTACCATTCAAGCTAAACTCCGATCGCTGTGCGACGTGTTCATCCGCTTCTGCATTGCGAGTGGGCGCTGGCCACGCACTAGGCCTGTGCTCCAATAACTGTGAGTGGTCTTTTTGAGCCAGCGCTTCGTAGGAAGCAGATTTCTGCTGCTTCTGATCATGATCTGAGACGCTGCGCACAGCCGCTACTAAATGGCTTACAGAACCATAGTACAATTTTTCTGGCGCCAGAAAGGTTCTTTGCAAGCGCACACGTGGTTCTGGTCTCAGTACAGAAGTTGGAGTGCAAGAACCACTCAATAAAGTTTCAGTTGCGTGCACTGGATCAAGTTCGCACTTATTCTGTATTTGCCCTTCGTACCTGAGAGATTTATCGTTTGCGCGATCCGGCTGCAACATTTGAGTTGCAGCACAATCAATGCTTCGCGCACCGCTCTGCAAGGTATGATTCTCTACTTCAAGACTCCTAGCCGATTCTTTATCTGCGCCAAGCGATCTGTCGCAAACTGAATCTCGTTCTTCGGATGCGAACTCACCGCTCGTAATTTTCCTTACATTTGCGATATTCTGATTTGAAGATGCCAAGCCAACTGTCTCAGCGAGAAGGCTATTGTTTTGCCCCTCTTCATTTATCATTTGACCGCTTGTCTCGTCACAGTCTCCGATTGAGTAGCTTTCGCAGCGCGAGGGTTTGCAACGCACTGCGATCAGATTTTTGTCAGCACCCCATGTCTCCTCCCTCCCTCGCTGAAAATCTGTCTGCCTTGGCGGCTCTTGTGGACACCGTTGTTCCTTTACACGATCTTTGTACGTATCATTGAGCTTTTCTCGGCTGCCGCTGAGGGTCTGTAGCTCGTTAATCGAAGCAATATCGCTGTCAGTTTGCAACTGCGTTGTATCTAGGCGAACACCATTTGTTCGCGAACCTTGCTCGCAACTTGCCGAATCGAAGCCAAGTTGCGACGATCTGCTTTCGCTAACGCGCTGCACTGCTTCGGTACGCAACTTCGAGTTGTTTCTTGCGCTTCCACTATGTAGCCGCTTCATTCGATTTCGCAGATTCAAACCGCTTTTTGATTTCACGCATAATAGTTGAACAGTGCCGCATGCGGTTAGCGCCGTCACTCCACTGACAATGTTACCATGCTTAAGTATCTTATTATTCGAAGTTATGCATTTGCCGTGCAAAACCACATACAGAAGTTCCTTAGACAAGGCGTAGTTGCAATTGCTCAGACTGACCTTCTCCACCGCAACAAGCTGCCCAGAACTCAGATTCAAAAGTCGGTGCAACTTTTTTAGCGCACTGTGGCTGGAAATGCTATCTTTGATTCCGAGCGAGTAAGCTATGCCTTTTCTTTTTTCGATCTTCTGCACTATTAGCTCGCCTGATGAGCTAGCACTTTGACCATCACCCAACGGCGGACATGCAACCATCTCTAGCATCTTTTGCTCTGAGCTCGCGGTGTCGCTAAGTTCCGGAGCATCAACAGGAGCTTCGCCACTGGAACTGTCTGTAGCACTTGGTGACAATGGTGCTTCGCTACAAGAATCCGAACAGCTATCAGATATGCCGCTGCGCAATGCATGCGCAAAGTTCCCAGTATCAGCTGGAGGCCGCGTCATCTTAGAGCTCTGCGACTCGCAATTTGACGAAGGCGCTGTCATCGACATGACCGTTACACTGCCTCGATCTGAAGCTGCAGCAGATTTCATAGCGTCTGCCCGGTTGTCCCTTTGCAAAGTAAACTCTGTTTTAGCTAGACCGTCCTTAAGGGAATCTTCCTTAGTCACTGAGAATTCGTTTGAGCACTGCTTTTCGGGAGCACTCGCAGCTGAAATGTTAAAAGCTGAAGACTTTCTAGAATGTGTCGGAGCTTTGTCTCTTATGCTTGCAGCTTTACTAAATACCGAAGCTATATTTGACAGTCGTCCCTGGTGCTTCGCCTCTGACTCGACATGGTGCTGCGTTTTATTCTGTTCTGCAATTGAATCACGTAGAGGGTGCTCGTGTACTTGTGTGTTCGCTGATATTTGCTCCTGAACGCGAGATTCGCAAGACATTGGCGGCAGACTTAGCAACTCTGGAGAATTGCATGGTGAAGTAACGTAGGAATTGTCGCTAATCACAAAATTTCGCGCGGTATGATTGCCGTTGCTAGGAGTTCCACTATCAGATCCATATAGGTTTATCTGACGGACAGTTTGCGCCGGCTTCCCCGACGAAGCGAACAAAGAGTTTTTAAACAGTTTGGAGTTCATTCTTTTCCTAGTTAGCTTAGAAACGGGGTTATTGTCAGCAGATTTAGCTGCAAATACGCTGCGCGAAATACCATACAGCTTTGCTTTGGACTCGAATAACGTTTTAGCTGTTCTGTAAATCTCATAGCTCGCGCCAACCTGCTCGTATTGCGTGGATTCTATGTTGGAGAGACATTGCCTTTCGCGCTCCAGCTGCATCTGTAGCTCTTTATTTAGCAGCGCGTGCTTTTGAATTGCTTTTGACTTGACTTCGTTTTCGAGTTTGATTCTGAGCAATTTCTGCTCCAAGCTGGTCTTCTCGTTTTTCAACTGTTGCAGTTTGGACTCCATTGCTGCGTTGGCGTGAAACTTCTTTGAGTGCTTTTTCTTTATCTCACTTAAGCTAGTTTCCATCGCAACCAGCATAGCCCGCACATGCGGAGTATTCCTGTAAGCTTCTGAAGCTGTTGCGTCATTCAGATGCTTAAGCAGTGTTTTGCAAGAATGCACTAGATGTTCGGTTGGTTTCGACACGCTCTGTTCCATCGCTCGCACAACGGTTCGCAAAAAATTAGACCCGCTGAACTGCTTTGCCGCGCTCAATTCTGCTTCAAACGAGCGAACATAATGAGCCAAAATGTCTTCTGCAGCCAGTGCAGACTGATTGAGATTGGAGTTGGTAGCGTCTTCAAACCCGCCGTCATGCTGGCGTAAGCCTTTGAATGCGCTCTTTTTCTGCATAAACTGTAAAAGCATGTCATTCAATTGAATCACATACAGTTTTATCAGCTCTTTGTCAACGCTACCTTTGAGATACTCTTCTTTTTGAGCTAGAAACTTTATGAACAGTTTCGTGTTCGTTTGCAAGTGTCTCTGGAGCTTCACCTCATAAGCATGCCATTTGTGCAGATCTTTCAGCCATTGCTTGTAATGCTCCTGCGAGTAAAGCAGCCCATTAACGCGAAATCCCTGGACTTGCGGAAAATTAAGCACTAGTCCATTGTACACATTGCAGCCTTCGCTGTTCTGCTGTTGCTGCCGCGCGATGTAGTCCGCGAAGCACTGCGAAAGCTCATTGAGGCTGAAGTTGGAGCCCGGCTTCGGAGAATTCAACGGGGGAATGAATTTCGCGCTGCACGAGTCATCAATGCGAATGCATTTCTCACTGACAATTGACTCGACAATTTTGTACCCGTGCGCTCTCAAAAGATTTAAGTCGCTTGCAAACACGGTTGAGAGCATGGTAATTGAGAATGTCTGCTTTTTGATAAACAGCTTTACATGTTCTAACAAGGAATCGTGGATACGCGCGAGACAATCTTGGTTGAAAATAGTCGTGACGCTGTTCCTGCTTTCGACGTCATTCTCGGTTTGCACAATGAAAAGAAGGTTTCTTCGCAGAACGTTTGCAATGTAGTCCGGGTAGATGTCGCCGAAATACCGCAGAGCGTCATTAATAGACTTTACGTACTTCTCGACACTCTCAAGTAGAAACTTGCTTCTTTTGCGCGTGCTCTCAAGTTTGTTCTTCAGCAGCTTTTTTTGCGAAAGCTCGTATTTCTGAACAGTGCTAAGGAACGCATTGAGCCGCTCGTCTATACGCTCTTCTTCGTTAAACTCTTCGAGCTCATCGCAGTTATATTCTTCTTCGACATTCTGATCAATATTCTCAATAGCATGGTACGCTTCTCGCAGATTCTGGAGGCCAGCGTCGCTAGAGCGGCCATTCATGCGAAGCAGCGCTACGATCCTAGCAGCAACTGTGCGGAGAGGTTGATCAGCGAAGCAAGCTTTTAGAAGAGAGTTCGCTTGGTTATTGTGTTTTCCTGCGAATAATCGTTATAATAGTTCATTATCGAAATCAAACATTTAGCCGCACCAACTTACATCTGCCACCTCACAGGGATCAGCTGAAATAGCCAGAAAATGCTCGAAGAATCTGGTTCTGAGATCTAAATCGAGTTTGTATTTCTATCATAAAACGATCAACAATAAGCTGTCAAGTTCTCTCGCATAAAGTGTTCATAGCATGTGAGGGTTGTTGCTACGACCCTTGTGCAGTATAATAAACCTTGGGCAGAAACTCACTTTTCCGCAAGGTGCTATTTACAGTATTTGTTTCTTTGTCGTAAGCCATTGTAGAGTCGATTTAACAGTTGGCGTATTTAGAACAGCGCAGTTTAGTCTACGACTCGGTTGATAAGGATACGCTCTTGCAGCGGGGCATTGAAATAATATACTCGAACTTTGCCAAAGGAAGTTAACTATGCTGATCTGCGATCAAACAGACAACGTGACTCGAGTCATGCGGTGTAGCAGATCTTTTGCGCTGGTGAATTTTGTGCAGTGCGCAATGAAAAAATAGAAAACCTTAACCAATTGAAGCATACTGTTACAATATTTGTGGAGCGATTACTGCACATAGTACGTGCTTTCGAGTTGTTATTGGCAGGGCCTCGCTACACGCTGAGGATTGACTCTATTGCATGAGCTGTTTGCAAACACAAGCGGTTCAAGCGATTAAATATTTTAATTCGCTATCAACTAGAGAAAATGTAAAGCTGCGATTGCTACAAGAGGAATGCAGAAACTTGCAGTGCGGGCGAGTGAAAGAGCTCAAAAACCGGTTTGACTTTAACGCAATGTCTGGCGAAGGTGCCAAGCGTAAATCTGTGCAGGAACTGTTGCAGCAATGGGAAAATCTTGGAAATAGTGATGAGATGCAAAAAGCGTCGGGAGCTACGATGCTCAGCGCTGAAGATCTTGCTAGAAACATAACGAAGAGCAGTAAAGAGGCAGAACAGTCGCAGGAAATCGGCATCAGCTGGACCGACACTAAGTACATGAAAAAACGCGTAGGTCGGTTCTCTCCAGCGGAAGACAAACTTTTGAAGAACGCAATTTACGAATATTTTGCAGCAGAGAACCTGGACGAAGCTGAAGGCTGGAAGCACTTGTGTCTCACCAACCGAAAAATTACGCGAACCAGTTCGCCTTGGCCCGCAATCTGCTCTGTACTACCGCACCGCCATATTGAATGTTGCATCACTCGAGCGCAAACGCACTTATACCCGTGGACTAACAAGGGCAAATGGACCGCTGAGCAAAAAACCCAGCTACTGCACCTCGTCAGTCACTACGTGGCGCGCAACGTGCGAATCGATTGGCCTGCAATCGCCGCAGAGCTGAATCGCCACTACAAGCACTGCAGAGATATGTACGTGTACATGAAAAGTACAAACCAAGCGCACAAACTCGTCAGTGCGGAGAGTGGACCCACCGCACACGAGGACAGCGCGCAGCAAGCAGCTGGCACTACGTGTTCGCAGCCAAAAGAGTTGTATGACTCTCAATTGCTCCATTTGATTTACCAATACAGGAAAGAAGAATGGCCGCGAGACAACATTCCGTGGACTAAAATTGCGGAGTCGCTGCCTGGATGTTCGCCGCAGCAGTGCAGAGTGCGTTACCATTACTTTTTGAACTCAATCGGGAACAAAGTACCGAACGCGCGACTGCTACACAAGCGCTTTATAATTAGGCGCATTGCTCAAAGGCTGGAAGAGCTCGGGTCGGAGTTCATTTTCGAGCGAGTAGAGTGGGTTGACGCGCCTTTCTTCTGGCCCACAAGCGTCAACCAGCTGCGCGCAAAGCGCTTAATGCTTTCTGCGTGTGCGAAGCAGTTCGGCGAGCCTTGGCCTTGGAAACGGTTGTTGCAGACTTCGAGCGCCTGGCCGCAGTTAGTTAATTCTCTAGCCCAGCTATACAACGTGGAAGCGACTGCGGAAGCCGACGCGAAGTTGCTCCAGCAGTATAAGCTCGAGCTGAAGCTGGCGTTCCCTATGCTATCCTTTGCGCAGAAAGGAAAGACAGAGACGGCTTCACATTTCGAACTCAGTGATGTGTCGTCCCAGCTGCAGGAAAACATAGATAGCGCCGCGCGCCGTCTTGTTTTGAAGGCGTCTCATTCCAGCGCTGAAACGCACGAAAAGCCGCAAAGTTTAGAAGAAGAGGCGATGTATCTCAAAATATTTCTTGACTAGTAGGAAGCGAAGCGCATTTCGCAAGCTTCCACTCGGCTCTGGGCGCTGGACGAGGCGCATGCGTTTTACACATAAATGCAACTTGAATAAGAGCCATGCGAAAGAAGCGACAGAGCACAATGCCAGGCTCTGAAGCATGGAATGCTGGAACCTGGGTTCCAGGCCGTAAGTAGCCACGTCGAACAGCAGGAAAACGACTGCCTTTCAAGCAGACAGACTACGAAGATCTGAGCGTATTGAGCACCACTTCGCAATCTGTAGTGGACTACAACGAGGTGTTTGCGGCAATAGTAGCGCGACGCGATGGGGCTGTGCAGAGGTCTGGCAAGCGTTCGCAATCGAAGAAGACTCACAAGCAAAAGATCGACAATGCTGTAGTCGATCTGGCGCAAAAGCTGATGGACGGCCATAGTGCGCTGCACGTCGAGGACGCAGTGCGCGCGATGCAGAAAGCTGGCGTCGCGCCAGACTGCTTCGACATTCAGGCACTAGAAGCAGACGCTAACTCGCAAGTCGACGCAATTCGGCTGGCTCAGACCATTCAACGCATTAAAAACAAGGCGGACACCCCGAACGAGCTCGTGAAGATTTTCGAATTCTACGACCCGGAACAGCGCGGCTCGCTGAGGTACGACACGTTCCGAAACGTGCTGTGCTCGCTAGGCGATTCGCTCAACGCGCAGGACGTTGACGAAGTGGCAGAGCGGCTCGCAGCGAAAAGCGAGCGGATCGATTACGTGGCGTTCGCCGAAGCTTTGCTTAGCAACACTCTGATACCCGAGCTTGATAGTTCAGAAAGACTAGCAGAAAACGCGAACTCTGCGGCGGAACCGGCGGCGGAACCGGCGGCGGAACCGGCGACGGAACCGGCGGCGGGCAGCGTCGCGGAAGTCAGCGCTCCCGTGAGCGAAGATCTGGCCGGCAACTCTGCTGCAGACGCAATGGCTGGCGCTTTTTAGCGCTGCGTTTTTCTTAAAACTTTTCAAATATGTTTTCCAAAGCCCTGCCAGGCTGCGCTAAGCGTAGCACGACGTTCCAGTAGCGGCGTGTCGGTCTTTGCGCGCATCCTTGAGTACGAGATTGGCAGCTCGAGTGCGACCGAAGGCGAGCATGCGGTCGCCGCGCTCGAGCTGCCCGCAGAGCTCGTGAAGGGCATCAAGAAGTTGGGGATCAAGTACTTGTTGCCAATGCAGCGTGACTCGATCGAGCACTTGCGGCTCGGCGGCAACGCAGTCGTGTGTTTTCCCACCGGCACCGGGAAAACGTTGGTGTTCGGCGCGTTGATTGTGATGCGCTGCAGCGCGGCGCTGCACGAGGTGCAGGCTGCCGTTGTGTTGCCGACGACCGAGCTCGCGAAACAAGTTGGACAGGTGCTCGCTGCGCTTTGCTCCGGCACTTTGTTGGGCGTTCACGTGGCTGCGGCGGGCACGAAGCTCGGCATAGGCGCGGGTGCGCCGGCGCGGATGAGCCAAGTCTTGTGCGGAACTGCGATGCGCGTGCTTGCTTTGTTTAGATGCGCCGTGTTCTCGCCGAGTTTCCTGAAATTGCTGGTGTTTGACGAAGCGGACGAGCTCTGCAACAAGGGGTTGTTGCGCGACGTGCAGCGTTTGTTTGCGTTTGCGCCGCCAAAGGCGCAATTGCTGCTCGTGTCAGCGACGCTCAAGCCCGAGCTGGAGCAGTTCATTGAGCGGCACTCGTTAGTCTGCGACTTGCTGCGCGCAAAGCCGAGTGCGGCCGCTCGAAAGGTGTCGCACTTTTATTACCGCGCCGAGACGCAGCTCGCTAAGTTCGAGTTCTTCTGTAGAGCGTTCCACGCTGTCGGGGCCGCGCAGGCGCTGCTCTTCGTCAACGAGCGCGCCTCCGCAGATTGGTTGCACAAGCGGCTCAAGCACGCAGCGTACGACGTGACGCTGATCCACGCCGGACTTGACACGCAGCGGCGCCAAGCGAACTTCGAAGGTTTCCGCAGCGGCAGCACGCGCCTCATGGTTGCGACGGACGCGCTCGGGCGCGGAATCGACATTCTGAGCGTAGCGCTGGTCGTCAACTTCGAGGTGCCGCTTAGCCCGGAGGCGTACGTGCATCGCGCGGGCCGCACGGGGCGCGCGAACCTCGAGGGCATGGTTCTGACGCTCGCGTCTACGGCCGAGCGCGGGCTACTCGCCGCGGTTGTGCGCGCGAGGAAAATCAAACTCGCGAAGATGCGCCTGTAGCGGCGAAGCCACGCTCGGCTACCCGACGGCGGCGTCGCGCGCTCGCGGCTAGCAGGTGGCTGCGCGCGGCACACTCTGCGCGAAGATCTTTTGCTTTTCTGCGATCATCTCCTCGTTGCTCGGCACGAAGCGATAGAACAGCAGCGGCACGAGCGTCAACGACGAGCAGAACAGAATGTACTTCGGCAGGTTCGCGTAGTCGGTGCTCGTGATTCCAAACAAGTAGATGCAAACGCTGCTCGACAGTTTGCCGAGCGTGCCGCCAAAGTAGCGGATGCACATCAAGAAGCTGTAAATGGTGCCTTCGAGCCCGGGCGGGCAGATCAGTGAGGCGAAGACGAGCAGCGGCAGCAGCTGGATCTCCGCAATGGCTTCAATCAGGAAGCCGCCGCTAAGCGTGAACAGTTCGTCGGAGATGTGCGCTTTGCGGTTCCAGCCGGTGACCAGCAGAAACGGACTCGCGTAGATCGGCAAGTTCAGCAGCACCGTAGCAAACAGCACGCGCCGGTAGGACGCGTTCGTGAAGCACCACTGATAGAGCAGCAGTCCGATCACCGCGGCGATGCCGTA